GTGATCAAATACGCTCAGGAGCTCCTCAGCTAAAGTTCCTTTTGGCTTTCTGCTGCTTCATGCTGATGTGCTGCTCATGTTTTGGAGGCTCAAGGCCCTCCTCTGTTTTAAGACCAATGGTCCTTCAGTTGTGTAGTCTTAAACAAACACTCATTTTTGTTTTTCTCATGATAGGCCCAAATCTTTTGGTACAAAAACTCTCTCCATTTGGTGTTTTTTTGTTTTGTTTTGTTTCCGGTACCGGGAACTGAACTCACGACCTTGTGCTTGCCAGGCAGGCGCTGTGCCACTGAGCTAAATCCCCAGCCCGTGTTTTGTTTTGTTTTGTTTTGTTTTGTTTTGGTTAACTCTCTCCATTTGGGATGTGCCTGTCTGCACATTCACACCAACTTGGAAACTGTCAGAGAGGGGATGATCACTTCCCTTCGCATTTTCCCTTCCCCTCTAGGAGGAGGGTTGAACTATTTGGCACATCCACTGGATGAAGTACTAAAGCCAGGCCATATTCTGTTCTAGACGTGGCTCCCAATAATCTCTACTTGCCTATTTGTGCCACCACGTAATGCCTTCCCTTGGAGTATGGGATGGACCCAGTAAGTTTGCTTGTAGGGAATAACACAGCATAAATGATATAATGTCACCTTTGGGATTAGTTTTTGGAAGAATCGAACTTCCATTTTATTGGTATTCACATTACACTGCCTTCTTACCTTGCATGCTTTGATTTAATAAGCTTTAGTGTGGTTTGAATGTTTATATATTGGAAATTTAATCACCATATTCATGTACTAATGGTATTTGGAGGAGAGGCCTTTGAGGACTAATTAGAATGAGATGAGGTCAAGAGAGTGCAGCCCTAATGAAGGTATCAGTGGCTTTATAAGAAGAGGGAGACACACCCAAGCCAGCACACTTGCTCTGTCTCACCATGTGACACCTTTCACCATGTTATGTAGTGACACAGCCCTCCCCAAGTACTTAGCAAACACTGGTTCTATCCTTTCATTGTTCCAGCCTCCAGCTCTGTTGGGTAAATAAACCTCAGTTCTTCATAAATTATCCAGCCTCGGGTATTTTGTTAGATGAAGACACTGCACTTACAGAAAGGCCTACATGGCAAGGGACATGGCAAGCTCCTGTGAAGAGCCAATAAAGAACTGAGGCCCTCAGTTCAACAGCTGACACAGAACTACAACAACAATCACGTAAACAGCTACAAAATGGATTCTTCCCAAGTTGAACCTTCAGATGAGACCACAGTTCCAACTTGATTGTTGCTTATGAGAAACTGAAACACAGCCCTGCTTAGATTGTCCCAATTCTGGACACATCACAACTGGAAAATAAAATGTGTATTGTTTTAAACTGCCAAGTTTTTGGGTAATATGTTAACAGCCATGTACAGCTAATGAAAGCCATGCAATTTCTGGGATCTCTCTATGAAATATGATCCACTTTAAGATTGGGGTTCTACATTAGCATGAGCAGCCAACCCATAAACCTTTCACTTGCCAGGCAGTGCGTGTTATGCATTTATTCCCCTTGCAGACCTTGTAAGGAGTCGTCACTGGTTGAAAACAGACCTGAATGTTTTTACATTTCTTGTCTCGTTAACACTTTAATCAACTCTCACCTATGGCCTAATTTGAGCAGGCCCTACGTCAAGGAGGCTAGCATTTATGAGACAAAATTCTGTAGTGGATGCCACGTGGCTCACCCTATGGGCAAAGCATTTAGAGCTCAATCTTTGTTGTTTTTGAAAATCAGAATTCAGTCTTGAAGCCAATATTGCTTTTTAGGAAGTGATGAGAAGCAGAATTCCATGTAAGTCAAAGCAATGTCTCATATAAAAACAAGACAAAATACCGTATCTCAAATATTTGGCTTTCAGAGTTTTAGAGCATATAGTGGTAAGTGGTATTGAACTGATTTCCCTGACTTGATTTCCTGACTTGAAATGCTTTGCGTTTCTTCCTGATTTCACCAGTATCTCAACTTGCATGTGAGGCCAGAAAATAAGAAATAAGGTTAGAATATTTAAGTAGATGTCACTGTGGGCATGAAGAGCCTAGACCATCAGTCTCAGATTGGCTCTGGTTATCTGGTTGACCATCCTAAAATCTGGTATTGCATATTTGTCTGCTGAGATTGAACAGTCTGACCAGAGAGAGGCCCAGGATGTTTCCAGCAATTTCTTTTCTGTCCACCTCTTTTACGCTTTCTATGTTCATGAATGATTCCACTGAGACTATGTGGTAGACTCAAAATTGGTCACTAATTTTCCCTTCCCTGTGTCTGTTCTCTTTTGTAATGTCTTCTACCCAGGGGTGGAGTCTACTTCTCCACTCCTTGAATGTGGCATACGTGAAAGAAGCAAGCACAATATTAGCTAAGGCTTAAAAAGTCTGTACATTCAATTTCTCTCCCCTTGCTGCTCCTTGAAGTCACTGAAATCACAGTACAAAGGATCCGTTTTCTGGAGGATCAGAGAGTATATGGCACAAAAGCAGGCATCACACTAAGCTTCCCCTAGACCAGCAGTGGCAGACCTATGGCACATGTGCCACGGCACTGCAAACTCTAAAAGGTTCGCCATCACTGCTCTAAACCAATCATTCTGTCAAACACGATGCTGTGTATGAAGCTGCCCTAGAGCTGACGTTCTTGCTGCCTGAAGACACACAGGAAAGTCCATTAGAGATAAGCTGGGGTGGCCAGGCCAGACAAACTATCACTGTGAACCAAGTAAGTGGGTGGTTTAAAAATACTCTGTTTTGAGATGGTTTGTCACTCAACGTTAGGCAACCGTTGTAGACTTATATTGTGTGTGTTTCCGTCAGTTCATCTTCTTGGTGCATTTCGAGCCCCGGAAAGTGAAGGTCTGTAACTTCACAGAAAGTGAAATGCAGGCCCTTGCCTTTGGCAATGAGTTTGGCTATGAGCAAATGGAGACCTCCAGGAACCAATACAAGGTCAGGTGAGTTGGTTCTTTAACTGTTTATCAGACTGGCTCATCTTCCACACATCGTTAGCCACTGAGCACTTGAGGGGTAGCTCAAAATTCCCACCTAGACTAGAGAACCCACATTTGTGGCTGGTTTTCTAAGTATATATCCACTTTGTCCAGGAGCAGATTCCAGTCAGAGCAGAGGAGAATAGCAGCAACGTGCAATGTCACTTCTGAGATTAAGTTATAAGATGACTGTAATTTCCAAATTGGGCACTGTCACTCAAATCATTCCCCCCAGAGGCAGCCAGCTACCCTGTCCAGATGCAGCTGTATGGAGTGGCTTTTATGGCGAGGAACTGAAGCTGCCGATGACTATGTGGAGAAGCTTGGAAGTGAATTCCAGGATGCCCCACTGAATCTGCATAATGTCATGGCATCGTCAGCATGAGAGCCTATAAGCCAACTCACTCATATTTAGATTTCTGATACACAGACATTGAGAAATGATAAATATTAGTTGGTAACTAATGCAACTTAGGCTCACCCAATCAAAGCCCCAGTGATAAGCTCAGGGATGTACATGTGACCAAGCTGAGCCAATCACAGCACACTGAAGGGCTTTTATGGGAGCTCCCATTCTTTCTCAGGGCACATGATGCTAGAAGGCTGAGGCTGGGACTTCTGTAGCCACTTTGTCCTCCTTAGAGGAAAGTCTTTGATTACCTTGTTGGTCTCTATAACCCTAGCACTCAGGACTATGCCTGGATCAGAGTAGGTGCTCAATACTTACTAAATGAAAGGTAGCTTTAAAATTTATACATAGCCAATGGAGAAAGTAGGAGAAACTACCATGGCAGGCAAACTCTTCATGAATACCATTTTACATGGAACATGTTATCAAACAGCTGTAGAAACCTTTGTATTTTTGTTTTCTAAATACTGATGCATAGAATACACAGTTTCTCCTTTAAGTTAGCTCCTGCCAATTTTAACCAGCAGAGCTGCTAAAACTCACCAGATGAGCTAACTAGAAAGGATCAATGGATTCACCATATCTGTCCAATTGCCTAGACTGGGAACGCTCCAAGAAAGGGGATGAATAAACTCTCACACTGTACTGTGTGTGACAGGTTTGCTCTTTTCTGCTACCCACTAGCCTTAGCAGCTACAAAGGCACGTGCTACAGCCTGGATTACTACATCTTTCACAAAGAAAATAGAAGCATGACTTCATTCAGAGAAAGCATCAGGCTGACACCTAGTGATTCAGTAATATGCCACTCTGCTCCCAGAGAAGGGGACTCTTTCTCCTGCCAACGACACGCAGAAATAATCTCCTTTGTTTTCCCATGTTTTGGGGGCCTCTCTGGACAAGTAGGAGAAAAAGGTATACACACTTCTTCTTTTGCAGGTGCTAAACTAAGTTAGGGTAGAATAGTGAAAGCTAAGTATATATGTTTTACAAATGGTAACAGCCTCAAAGACCACAAAACAGGGTTCCCTCTGAGCCGAAACCTTGGGGACTTTTAGCATTGCCGGGTTGAAACTTCTGCTATGTAACTTGTGCTTAATAGTAAGCGTGAACTAGAATGTCTGAGTGGTTGTGCAGAAATGCTGATTATAGGCACAGGAAAATACTGAGGTCATCAAGTCTGTAATTCACCCATGGCAGTAGTCTCAACTTCAAACAGCTACAGCAGTTAGGGAAGTGGATGGAAGGTATAATACAATAGCGGGTAGTGGAGACTGGTGAGATGAGAACACAGTGCTTTTACAAAAGACGGCCACTTCGCAGTTCTGTTGAATTATTTCCACATGAAAATACAGGTCCAGTGCTTCCAGTCTTTTGATTTTTTCCCCCCAAGGGACTTTGAAAGTCCAGAGACTCATATAAATTACTCCAATTTTAAAACGTTGACTATGATTTTAATTAAATAAAATTCTGTAGGAGTGAAGCGAAGCTTATCCTACTGGCAACATCGGCCTTTGGATCTTCAATCTGTAATGTTTGTACCAGAGCACTTTTAAATATAGCCAAGTAAACAAGAGAGTTTGCATATATTAATGTTTAATCATATCAATTCTTAAACAAAAATTTTTCCTCCAAGAGACAATAGTTCACAGTAATTGCAAAGCTTACTCACAACTTTAAAAATACCAGTCATGCTTAGCATTCAAAGAAGATATTAGAGAATAACTGTAAAAACTTTTACCAGGAACATCAGCTTCTGACTTTAAAAATTACAAATACTGAAGCATTTTGGTATCAGACACAGTAGTTTTGACATTGTCTGTTATTTGATGAGTTTCTGGAAGTCTGGGAAATTTTACTTCTATTGTAGGATAATGCGCTTATTCTAAACTAAATATTTTCAAATGTAGAAAACGAACTAGCAAGCTACACATACAAAGAAAGGCCCTCTAAGACAAGCTCTCCACAAGTGGAATGCCAGCATATGCACCATGAACCCTGGAAGACTAGAATTGATACGTACACTTGGCCTGAGGTCTCACACCCCAGGATCAACAGTGGAATTTGCATTCACCTACACATTAATGACAAACTCTGGGTTAGTATAAGAGAAGCCAGCAAATTCATTTTGGTCCAAGTTCATGATGAAGAGTTTGTCAGTGGGAGTCAGCTCCACAGGCTGCCTGGTGAACTCTTTGTCGAAGTTGGAGGTGTCTCGCTTGTCTCTCTGCCAAACGGAAAGCAAACACAGTAACACAGCGTGAGAAGAAGGAAACACGACCAAGACATGCCAGTAACTGGAAGCTAGTGACATCTCATTAGCAGTCAGAAAGAGCCCTGTGCTGACAGGTCGTAGCAGCTGCATTGCACATAGGAGCTTCAGTTCACATCGTACATTGGTTTCAGGATAGAAAACTCAGTGAACATTTTCTAAGAAAAAATATAAATTATTGAATTTCTTTCAGGATTGCCATAAAGTGGTGTGTGTGTGCGTGTCAGTGTGTTTTCTCTGACTTTGAGATTAAATAGATAACTGCTTCTTACCATGCATGATGTCACAGACTTAGTTATTAGCTAGAATGTCCCAGAGACAATCCACTCAATAGCGCCCCCTGTGCCCAGGAGGCCTCCTTTGGAAAGCAGAGATGTTGCACAGCTATTCTGCTTCTGGAAGGTAGACTATCCATGTGGGGCAATCAAAGCCTGGTCACTAAAAGAGGCTGACCACTGCCCACCCCACACTCGTTGGTGCAATCAAGGTTTTGAAGGGGTGCTCAAAAATCCACCCACAGACAATTCGGATCTTCATAGCCAGAGGTTCTCTTCAAAGATGCTGATAGTATGCGTCTAATCAAAACACTGTCTGAAACAAAACCCAAAGCTTAAACTAAGATCTTGAAGGGAAGCCCTAAAAATGAAACAACTCAATTCTCCTGGTTACTCTGGCATTTTTCTTTGTAAAGTGCATATGGGGTGGGGGGAATTAACAATCCCAGTTCACTAACTATAATTTGAGGCAAGTTTTACCTGGGATCATCAGAGTGTGGGCTGACAGATCTTCCCTAAGGTGCTCTGACACCTCCAGGTTCCCTGACATCCTATCACCTCTTCCCATCTTCGCCTCACCTACCTGGAGGGCAGTTAAGAGCCGGAGTCTTCATTCCCCCATTGCTTGACATATGAGAAAAGTGAGGACCAGCCTGATGGCTGCTTTATTATGGGACAAACAAGGAGAATGCCTGGGACTCACTGGCAACAGGCAAGCTGCCTGGCTGGAGGTAGAATTATAGAGGGGAAGGTCAGTAAGTATTGGTTGGCTCAGAGTTTGGCTGGTCTTATGGTCTAAACCTAAACCAAACTTGCAGGTTCTAGCATGGGTTTAGGTTTAGCCCTTTTACAGGACTGGCAAATAAGAATTTCTCGTTGCTGGGCTCATTCCCTTCTGAAAAACTTTTCACAAAAACTGTTCCTATTGGCTGCTCCCTTGACATTGGCAAAATGTCTCTGTGGAGTTCCCTTGTTCCTCTTGTGGTGTTCAGTGAGGGTGTGCAAATGAGGGGGTCAGAATTGGCATCTGGAGTGCACCTGGGCAAGCACGGCCAGAGAGGAGCAGGCTAAGGATGCTGCTGATGCTGCTTTCCAAGTGATGGGTCCTCTGCTACTAGGTCCGCCTATCCTGCCTTGTCTTGTCCAGCCTGCTATTAGCCTGTGCTGTGCTGTGCAGTGTGGTGGGAGGTTCTACAACCAGGTACTCTCTGTGCTACTTCTTGAGTCCAGAGGAAAACTCAGTGCCTCCTCTAGCTTGAATAGCACCTGTGCATCTCTCTCCTGATGCCCACAAGACCTACTTTAATATCTTTTTAATTGTTTTCATCACATGTATTGCTTTCAGAAAATGTTTTGTTTAATGTTCTTAGGAGGGGGGTCCTTGTTTGCTTCTTTATTTGGCATTTCCGATGCCAAGAATAGTACTTGGTCCATACCGAGCTGTTCATCATTACTTGTTGAATGAATTAATAAAGACTCAATGGAGGGTGAGCTTCTTGGCTTTTGCCCACTCACTGACCTCTGAGCCAGAGACCTCACTCTGAAGCAAAATCATGGAATTTATTCCCGTTGGTGCCAAGAGCCTCCCAAATGGGCACCGCCATTCTGAGTCCCAGTCTGAACTGAACTGTGTGTGGGCCTTTCATGGCCAGGGAGAGCCAGGGCTGTGTGGACTCAAAGACAGGAATACTAGGGGCCAGGAGGTGGGCAGCTGCCTCCTTTCACATCTCCCCCGTATTGTCGAACCAACTTGGTCTTTCCTGCCTGAAAGCATGCAGCCAAAATTCTCTTCCCATCAACCCCAGCTTTGGAAAATCCCTTCATATTTATAGTGCTGGCGACCACTCATGTTTGGGAAGTCACACGATCCAAATAAGGGTTGTCTTTACAGGCTTCATCCTGTGGGAAGGTCATCTATGCCATGTCCCAGAATTTCAGCCCTAAATTTAGAGAACGGTCCATTCGATTGGGACAGTTCCTTTTGGGTTAATAGCATCTGGAGCCACATGAGAGCAGCAACACACATCCAGGTAGGGTTACGAATCCCACTGGCCTCCCATTAGTCCCCCAAAAGAGTCACTGTGACGACGACCCCATCCTTTCTTAGAAGAGGAGCAGGTCAGTGAGAAGTCTAAGAAATTAAAAAGGGAGACTCCTGGATACTTGTAGGCAATTAGCCATGGCTAATAAGACTTCAGATTTCTTTGGATTTTCCTCTTTACCTTAAAAAATTGTTTCCTAATTTAAATTCCTCTGGAAAATTCCAGCCTGTCTGAAGTGAGCTAGAAAAGGCATGCTGAGCCTACCCAGGGGCAACGTGTTGGAAGAGAAGTGCCGTCTCTAGGAGGGGTAGAGAGGGTGATATTTCCAGGAATCTGAGTGACAGACAAAGGACTCAGACTCAAACTGCAAATCCAGTTCCCTCTCTCCTTGCTGAGAGTCAGTACGGGTGCTCATCTCTGCTCGGGGCTTCGGGACTCTGTGGTCTGTTCACGCATGAAGCTTTCCTGACAGGAGCCCAGCCCACCTACCATTTTACCTTTCTCCTTCCCCTCCCCTCAGATTATGATTGTCACAGAAATCCAGGTCAAGACGCTGCTTTGTACCTTGTCCGTTAGCCTCAACCTGTGGCCTAGAGAGAGAGAGAAGAAACTCGAAAACATTTGGTAACTATTTCTTTTTTAAAGAAGTTATTCCTGCTTAAGCCAGAGATATTCTCTCTAGACCACATCATGCTTTTGAGTACTTGTGCAATGAAGGGCCTTCCCCAGACGCTGCGCTGGGGGAAGCAGAGGAAGGGGACGAACTCCATCTTTATTATTTTTCACTGTGCGGCTGGCGTTCAGCCTGCCACACACTTGGCGCTCAATAAATGCTAGCTGAATGAATGAAAGGTGGAATGAATGGATGATTGCAAAACTAAATTAAAATTTTTTCTTCCTGGATAAATTTGTAAAGTATTCCTCAGAGGTTATATATGATTAAAGCTCTGTTTCTTGGCTTCCTTTGTACTAGCAAGGCAGTTAGAAAGGAAATGGTAGGAAGCCTGACTAATGATTTTTTAGTTCCACAAAAAGCTTCTCTGACCACCCTTAGGGGAAGAGACTTGAGTCTCTACTTCTGCAAACTATGAAACTTGAAAAATAATGGCAAGAATTTGGAAAATTTAGAGCGGTATAT